CCCTCGTCGAGGAGGCTGCTCTCCGATCTTACATTTACATGCTAATTTCTCACATTAACATCACTAGCCCCGCCCACTTCTTTATGACCCTTGGGCTACACCTATTTCAAACCTTTTAAAACAGTCTGCCTCAGCAGCAGATCATGCTTTCCCACCTGATGAGGGACACTTGTGTTGCGCCCGAAACGTCGTGATTTGTTTTATTTTATACCTATGTTACTTTACCGAAAGAACCAAAGAGTATGTTTAACTGTATCTCTGTGACTGTGCGTGTTTAACTGTGTCTTTGTATGTGACTGTGTCTGTGGTGCACGTCTTTGTTGCCCTTAATATGTCTGTCTGGGTGGCGAGTGGTCGCTCAGTGGTTAGTTCACTGTGCTACGAACCCAATGGCCAGAGTTCGATTCCCGCTCACGGCCAACACCAGTGACAATTATCTGAACCGGTCTTGGGCCTCCCCAGATGGACTCAGTCTCAAATGAGTACCTGGTGCGGTGTGTAAACATCTACACTGGGGAGACAAAGGCGGCCGGGCGTGGTGCTGGGCACCCACCCCGTCGTGTACCGTGGCCGACCTTCACAGAAGTTGCCCCAAGTTTGTTGAAGGCCACACAGGGAATTTTTTTTCTTTTTTTTAGTGCATCCACCGCGACCTGGCTGCGAGGAATTTGCTGGTAACGCATGGACACATCGCCAAGATTTGCGACTTTGGGCTGGCACGGAACGTCCAGACTGACCCCAACTACGTGGTGAAGGGCAAAGTGAGTCCTTCACCTTACTTAGCATCATCAGCATCATTATCAGTATCGCCAATGTCATCACCATCATCGGAATGGAAGGCCCATCACTTTAATTGTACTCAATGTTTTTATTTTATTTTGCACAGCCCCTAAGAAAAAAAAGAGTGGGGGGTGCTGCCACACACGGTGGTGCAATGGCTCTCCCACCCTGGACTTGCAATCCAGAGGTCGGCAATTGGATTCAATCTCCCTGCTCTGCCGACAGTTCAAAATATGGGGCAATTTCACAAATCCCCTTCCTCCTCCCCCCCCATGTGGTACACGGGGTAACTGGCCCAGAATAACAACCTGTGGTGGTGACCACCAGGCTAACTACACTAATTACAACATGACTAGCTACGACAGAACGGGACCACAGCTCGGGTCCCAGTCCATGTGTTGGAGACTCGGTAGAACGTAGACGTAGACAAAGGTTTCTTCAAGATGAACAACAACGCCGGTCCCTCTGGGGGACCCGGCTTATATTCTCTGTGGCGTGGCTGGCTCCGCCCTTGGCCACGACCACCTTCTAGAATCATCGAACAGCAGGATCTGGACCCCGACCACGTGACCACCCCTAGCCCCCACTTGGGGCCCCTTTGTAGACTTAACCGGTCACGTGTCCTCTCGGGTCAACCAGAGTGCCATGGCATTTAGTAACCCGTTTCCTACGGCCGGCACTCCCACACCCTATCCTGTTGGGTTGGCACTGCACGCCAAGCGTGATGCCATCCAGCGGGATCAATCAGCGCTGACCGAGCCCCTCTAGGGCCGGTACTACACCCACACCATAGTGGTATCCGCGATGTCAATACACCGCACGCCGTGCCTCTCTAGGGCCGGCACTACACAGTGACATCCCGTGATGTCACTACACATTTAACCCTTCAGGGTAGTGGAGGGCTAGATGACGCTAATTTGGCCAGATGAATGTGGCCTGACGCAAAAAAACGTATGACGAATCGCGATGCATCGGCCTGAACTGAATTTACTGAACGTATTGTTGTTGTGCTTGTGGCCATGCGGTCATGTCCATTAGGTGCCTCTGCCTGTAAAGTGGATGTCTTCAGAAAGCATGTTCCATGGGCTCTACAAGGTGCAGAGCGACGTGTGGTCATACGGTATGCTACTGTGAGAAATCTTATATTTTGCTGAGACAAACTTTCACTTGCCACAAACATTCGGGGCCCTGAGTACAGAAGATCCTCACAGCAGACAACGATTGTAGTCTTATCTTACACTATGATTTTTAATTGCGTAAAGTTCAGATTTAAAGCTTTCGTGACTGCAGGGATTCATCTTCTTGGTTCTTTCGGTAAAGTAACGTAGAATGGAAAAAAAATAAAAAAAATAAAACGTAATAAAAAATAAAATTTTCACGACGTTTCGGCCACAACACAAGTAGCCTTCTTCAGGTGAAGGAACAGAACTGTCGGGACGACAGCACTTCAATGACTGCTGCTAAGATTCGCAGTGTCGTTTAAACTAGGTGGGAGAGGTAAAGCGCCTTGACAAAGGAGTTTACATATCAAACAGGATAATTTAGCATTGAAATAGCTGCGTTAAAGTGTTGGATCAGCAGGGTGTTAAAGTCAGAAATTAGCATGTAACTGGGAGATTAGCATGATGTTAATGTGAGGGATTAGCATGTGACTGGTCACGGAAATAGCTATGTTAAAGTCAAAGTTTCCATCTCAACAGAGGCATTTAGTATATGGACGCTAAAGGACTGCAACTACCCAACTATCATACAATAAACCGATGTGAAAAAAAACTAAGTAGAAACTTCATCAATATAATAAATGTACTCAATATATTCTTCAATAAATTGAGCTATAAACATAAAGTAACTGGGTATACACTACACTATCTAATGAATACCATATAGTAAACTAATAAAAAAACTAAAATACAAACTACATCAATGTTATCAATAAACTCTATATTCTCTCCATCAGCTGAGCTACTAACAATAAGTCGTTATACATTACAATGCCATATGGCGAAAAAAATGGGTGGCGGTTTTTTCCTTCTTTCCAACGTTAGCACCACGGAGAGCGACGAGCCTCGTTCAGACGGACGAGTCCATCCATGCTCGGAACGGAGGAGGGGGGAGAAACAGCCACGATGTGCTGCTCTGTCCTGTTGCGTTACAACCATGCCATAAACTAGACTACTATACATTGTAATGTTATACCTTCCAATCTAAACTACATTGTATAATATCGTATACACAGCCCAATGTAAGCTCTAACATTATGCATTATATTGATATGTCTCCAAATAAACTTTTTCCTACATTACACAACTATACACCGTAATATACACTACCATAGACAAACCCACCCTTGAATTATACAATGCGTTACTTTAGACTACCCTATACTTTAGACTGTAAAATATTAGACTTGTAATATTACACTATGTATTATTCTACCAACCCTACTGTATACCACACAGCTGTATATTCACTATAAAATTACAATACTATATATTGCCTTATGAATTATGTTAAACATTACAATGTTATACTATTTATTATTATATAACATGCTATAAACCAGGGGTGTCCAAACTACGGCCCGCGGGCCAACTGCGGCCCGCCATCCATTTTTAATTGGCCCGTATCAAAGTTTAAAAATATAATGGACTATGGCCCACTGTATTGCATTTCTTAAT